TATCAGAAATCTGTATGTATATATTGATACTTTTCTCTGATGTTTTGTTTGAATAATACACTAGAAAGTTACATTATTTGTGAATGTTTTTGAATGGTATTATTAACTAATATGTTCTACACAGGTAAATCACTGAACCACATAATGGAAGGACAGCACCTGGTAGCATTAGTACTTGGTCCACACCAGCAAGGACTATGAGATAACCCAACTTTATCAACATGTATTTTCAACTTGAGCAAGAGTGTATGACATTGCTGAACATATGCTTCCTCTTCCACAATTTAGGTTTTTCACATTGCCATTTTTTTGCTCTGATAAGGAAGCTGAATGCTTAATCTTCTTTTAATGCCAACACTGTGATTTGGACTAGCATATACCAACTTGTTCTTTGGGATATCATGCATTTTAGCCATTGCTGCCTTTTTTCATGGTAGGATGTTGAGAACAAGGCACTCTCTCCTATTGTGCTAATAACTTGGACCTGCAAAGTAAACTGTTAGCAAACAAGAAGAATCAGGATAATAGACTTCACTGATTTCACAGTACATACTTGTGACTAGTTCATTTCATGAAATATTAGAAGAAAAGCTCTCCAAGCAACTTGGGTTGTATCCATTCAGATTTGTACATTGAATACTTTACCATAAATTCATGCGTAGCTTCAGATTTAAGTCAGATTTGATAATAGAATGATGGCAGCCACTGGAGCTATGAAGTTTTTCAAGGGAGTTGACTTAGGGGCATTTTTAATGAAAGGAGATCTAAGAAATGATTTTGAGTCTGGAAAAGAAGTTGATATGATTTACATTTCAGGTGATTTAACGAGTTTAATACCACAGCTTGACGTGATTTAGGTTTATTTAATCTAGAAGCCAATCTCAGGTTATTTGTTCTCTCTTGACATTGTGATTTAGTTTTCCTTTTTTGCTTGATAAGTGCCTTTTATCACTTCAATGGTGGATGTTTTGTGTCATATTCAAATGCAACACATTAGTGATAAACCTGCAAAGAAGGTTGGTAGGTTTTCTGGGTTAACAAGTTTTATTGTTCAGAACTATTATTTTATCCAGTTTATGGACTGTATAGTGAGTTCATTCTGTCATTGTCTTTTGTCTTAATTATGATCCTATTTATTTCTTTAAAATGACGATAATTGATATTGTTATCATTTGATGCTCCTGATGCTGCTGTACAAGTCTTCAAAGTAGAATGTTGCTACATGATAGCTTAGTATTGTGAAAGATGAATTTAGCAATATATGGTATGCGGCATTTATAAGCAAATGCAACATAGGATGGCTAAGTTATAGCTCTTCTAAATCAGGGATCCCTCGTCACAAGCAGCATAAAGCATTGCTGCTCTCTGTAGGGAAGGGAAATTATCAGTGTTCTTGTGTGTAGAATATTGTTTATAGCATGTGAGTTTTTTTATGATCTGTTTTCAATAGCAGGAGCAAAAAAGTATTTTGGATTCAATCTGTCTTTCAAATTTGTTCACTTTCGTTTTCATATTTTCTCTCTCCTGCTCTTCTGATTTTGCCCTGTTTCCCTCTTTCATTTACTTTTATTTCCTTCTGAAGAAGAAAGAGCAGCTAACAGTAAGACCTCAGGGCATTTCATAAACAGGGATTTTCATTTAACAACATCTTTCTTTCTGCATTTCTGCTTATTTTCATCACTTATAGGAAATGGCATCTTTTGAGAATCATTCAATCCCATGTTAATCATGGCAGGAACATGATGAATACACAGTGTATTTCATACACTAGAAGTGCAGTTGCTTCAGGACAATGAAAAAAAGCTTTGGCATAAGAATATCCTGCTAAGTGGTTGCTGAAGATATTTATGAAACCTTTTTTTCTACCTATACTAATGTGATAGGCACTCATAATACTAAGATTATTTGAGATTAAAGATTAAGTTATGCTGTGATGCAGCCATCACTCAAGAATGAAAGATAGTGTAAGCAGTGAAAGTTGATGCTTTGGGAGACAATGTATGTGATTTATGGTTGTAAATTAAGAGTATGGAAGGCAGATTTTGGGAAAGAGGGTTACTGCACTCTTTCTTAATCTTTCTGGAATTAATGTTAGAAATTCTTAAATATTTTGTCTTGTTAGCAGCACTCATTTCATGACATGCTAACAAACACGTATTTATTAGAAAGCAGGAAAATGTATTTCAAAGTCACTGTTGCATGCAGTTTTAGCTCAATACATCAACAGAAACTTGTTTGTTTTTCCTGTTGTAGGACTGTGTATCTCAGATGTCTGAGGATATATTACTGATGTGGAACTAATGGTCCAAAAAGCATTTTTAAGCTGTGTCTGTATGTCCTTAGGATTAGTACAGAAAATAATTACAGAAGATTGAAGGAATTTCTCTAGATGGTTTTGAATGTAAAGATCTTCAGGTATTCCTAGAACTGTGGAGATTTTTTCTTTTTCTTTTTTTCTCTGAAATTCTGTCTAACATCTTTTCATTATTTGTTAAGATAACTAGGGTTAAAAAGGATTGATGAGATTGAATCTTAACATCTCACCTGTAGCCCATAATGGTGCTAGACTGAGATTGCCTCCAGCTATTTTTTATGGATAGAAACAAAGAGAAAAAAAGAAAAGAAAAGGATTATTTTTTCCTAATTTTATTTAATTCTTATTAATTTATCTTTTCTCCTAATATACGCTCTTCTTGATTGTGCGGGTACTAAAGTGGGACGTACAAGATTTCCTTCAACCATACATCCTCATTTTTTGTATCAATACCATTTTCATAGTCAGTGACATTCCACATGTAATTCATTTAAATAGCTTTATATAGTATGTGGCTGAGTTCTTCATTCTTTCCTTTTTTCGTGTCTCCTTTTCTACAGCATTTTGTTATATTGCTATATTGCTACAGTGACTCTCCTGAAGTTTATTTTCTCGGACTTGGTAACATAGGAAAACTAGAAGCTCCTGTTGATTTCCAATTATTTTTTTCTGGTATTGATAGATGAATTAATTTTTATTTACTCAATATCTTTGTCTTTGTCCTTTTTTTTTATATATATATACTTTTCCAACAAATACTTTGCACATGATATAGAAATATGTATTATATTTTGTGAGACCTTCATCAGCGTTATTAGACAAATGTTCTGATTAACTATTCAGAAACTATGTACTTTTAGTCTAGAGATGTTATAGGTTGTGATCATTATTATTTTATATTGAATTTGATCCGTATCGGTGGATTTCCTTTCCTCTTCATCAGTTGATTTAGGTATATATGCTGGACAGATTCTGTAGTATATATACTAAATATGCTTAATATTCTATACATTGCATACTTTGACAGAAATATTTTGAACATATATTTTGTAGGGGGAGAATATGACATGTTTTTTATACAGTACATAAAGCATAATCTGTCCATTTGTTTATTAAACCTGTGGTATTTGTTTCTTTGAAGGAGTTTAGAGTGGCCATGTAATTTGACTCAGGGTATGTTTATTTTATATGCATTATTATGTTTAGTTATGTGTTGTTTTTTTGTTTATTTTACTTGTATTCTTTGATAGCATAATTTTTTTCCCATATTCCCAATAAGATTTACATGTACTATTGATTGTTTCATGGCGTTTTTTTTTTTTTTTCCATTTCAGATTAATATAGGACTTCTTGTCAGTGTTATTATTTTTGTTTATTTTAGCAAAAGGAAAATATATGGACCAAGTATATGGCAGATTGTAAAGGATAGATTTTTTTCTTCTTCTGCTTCTACTATTTCTTCTTCTTCTTCAACTTTTTTCTTTTTCTACTTCTACTACTACTACTCCCTTTTGTAACACTGATTTAATATTCACTTAATAAAAGAAAAAAAAGAAGTTAAGGTCTTGTTTCCCCATGAAGATTATTTTTCATTTTAATAATCACAAGAAGAAGAAGAAGAGAAAAATATGAGGTTTACTGTATAGAAAAATCTTCATGTCAGTCTGTGTAGACTCAAAAAAGTTAGATGTTTAACTGCCATTATATTGTAAGCACGTTATGTTTCATAGCGATAACTCTGTCCGACTTGTCCTTAGGCTGTAAAATGTGAAATACTAAAATCAAAGTTTGAATCTATAAAATATAAGTGCTTGATAAATAAACCTGTAACACAATGAACCTTTTCTTACATTGGACAAACCAGCAAATGCTTATGGATAATTTTTGACCAAGTTCAAAAGTCTCGTAATTAAGAGTAAAAACACTATGATTATTTATACCAAAGAGTAATTCATGTTCATTCTGCCACCCCAATTTTTTATTTATTTATTTGACAAATCAGGAATATAATCCTCTTTTAAGGTTATCATGTTTTTCTATTGCTTTGGATTTACAAAGAAATGACCCTATTATATCTAAGACTGTTATTATCACATTTGTTCTGTGGATGTAAGTAGGATAAGAGAAACAAAGCAGGTTGTCTGAATGTAATCCAGTTATCAAAGTTCATTCCATGTTTTACCCACTAATTGAGTTATTTTTAGATATTTTTTACTCCCCACAAAAATTTGTTTGTACTGACTGGGTTTTCATATTCTGCAATGTTATACCCCTTAATGGAAAACGTGTATTGGTTTTGTATATTGTCATTCATAGATATTTTCAGATAAAGAAAGTATCTTCCTTGTAATCATGTATTTTTGGTTTTGTTTTCACATGTTGCTCATATTTCAATACCATCTCTTTCTTGTGTCTTCTTGCCTACTAAAGGATACAAAGGAGACAGATTTGCTCATTCTACTGTAGTTATTAAACAGTTGTAATTTTGACTGTACCAAGTCTGATGAACTTCTCACTCTATATGTATATTTTTTAATTTCCATTACTCTTTTCTTTTTGCTAAGAAGACTTTGAAGGCAGTTACAGTAAATTAGAGAATAGATACATTACTACTTTGGATATCATCATCTACATTTGTGTACTTATGTAACAATTATCTGTGACCAATACAGCAATATTTATTTTATAAATTGTATTATTTTCCCCATTCTTTGTGTGATACTTTATAGTTTTAATTATTTTGGGATATTTTGTACTGCCTCACACATATTCTTGATGGTCAAGAAATATTGAAATTGTAATTGACCAAAAACAGGTGATATATAATATCAATCTCCTTAAGTTAATTCTCAGTGTCTTTAAATGATACAAAAATATTCTTAAACAATTAATTTGCAAGAAATATATACCATGTATAAGCAATGAGACAACTGCAATATGAAAATAAGCTTCAAAAAGGAAACATTCATTGGATATGAATAATAAAAAAATAAAGCATTATGACAAACTACTGGTTTTAAATTAATGTTTTTGAGAGGTAAATAGTATTGACCTTGGAAGCATGTACTTAGTAACTTAGTAATCAAGTACCATGATGAACAGAAAGGTGTTTTTGAATATTTTAAATGTAGGAATGTCTAACACTTATTTTCTTATCATTATTACTTACTTAAATGTAAGAATCACTGTTTTACTGTCAATTTCATATTTTTTCAGAGTATGATTTCAGAAAGCTAAGAAAATATTATTCCAATCATAAATCTACATGTAAAAATGGACACCTTATTAGTCATTGTTATTATAACTATGCATATTGGATATCAGCATTATTACTAGCAAGTGTCAGTACAGTAAAGTTTCGAATAGGGAAAGCAATGATGAACACCTGTATAGTCACAATACTACATAATGAATTTTGACCCCTAGATAAAGTAAAAGGAAAGCAAACAGACTTTTAGACTCCCAAAGCAAAGTAATTAACCAATCAACCGACCTTGGGTAAAAGAAGAAATGTATCAAAGATTGTGCGTCCCTAAGCGGTAGAGTTGCAATCACGACTGTTGTGGCAGCAGGAAAATGAAATAATGCAGACGTAAGTGCCATCCTAGAGACGTCTGGCCTTGAGGAAGTATGGTGGTTACTAGAGTTAAGGAAAGGGAATATAATTCTTAACACAGAAAGTCTCCATTGTTGTGGATTATAGACGCTTTTATGGCTTCATATAAACGCCTTCATTTTATAATACACAGATAATAAAGTACGGGCACACTGAGGCGATGATACAACTGCACTGTAATCGGTCTCAGACGGTTTGCGTTGAATACTTCGACATGCGCAATTTTCAGACATTCATACAACCCCATCACCCAGTGCACACTGAGGGATTCATCACTACAATAACAAAAAATGTGCACCATGACAGTTTTATATGGAGGACGAGTGGTCATGCATATTTAAGTTCAGTGCATTAGAATAGAAGGATTATGGGTTCCTGAAGGACACAGTGTACAATAAAGGTAATTAAGAAGGGCGCACTGTGATGATATGCCTACCATTAAGTGCTCAGTTCTACTAAAGTTGTAAACACAAATCTCTGCTGAAAGACAATCATATCACTGTCTTGTCTTTACGCCTCAGCCGGAAGAAATGATTACACACACATATTTTCTTCTCTCTCTCTCTCTCTCTCTCTCTCTCTCTCTCTCTCTCTCTCTTCTCTCTCTCTCTCTCTCTCTCTCTCTCTCTCTCTCTCTCTCTCTCACTCTACTCCCTCCCTCTCTCTCTTCTCCTTCTCTTTCTCACTCACACACACACACACACACACACACCACACACACACACACACACACACACACACACACACACACACACACACAACACACACACACAAGGTAATCCTCAGCCTGTATCAAAGAGAGGATCTCCGCACCTCTGACCCTCTGCAACCACCCCCCTCCCGTCCTCGCTTTGGGTCGAAGCAGCTGGTATAATTGGATGTAATCCTCGGCCGTCTTGAGCCTAATCCACACCCGCGAGAGGAGATATTCCGTGAATAATAATAGTGTGTCTTCCTCTGCCCCTTCTGAGCACCTGTACCTATATATGTGTGTCATGTATGTGATAGTCTTGGTGTGAGTGGTGTGTGTGTGTGTGTGTGTGTGTGTGTGTGTGTGTGTGTGTGTGTGTGTGTGTGTGTGTGTGTGTGTGTGTGTGTGTGTGTGTGTGTGTGTGTGTGTGTGTGTGTGTGTGGTGTGTGTGTGCGTAGTGCAAAGTGTGCGGATGTATCTGATTGCCGAGTTTTTCACGGTTACATTTTTTGCGCATAAAATGCCAACGACATTATAACATTAGAATATAATCAATTTTTATTCCCTTTAATCACAAAAGAACAGCTTTGCCTTGCATTAGGCAATAAATAGATCAAAGACATTAGAACATAGTGAACTATTTTCTTCATTCACAAAAACGTAACCATCTTGAATTCAGCAAAAAACCAGAAGACGTTAGAATATCGTGAACCATTCACTTCAGTCATAAAAAATCGCTTTATCTTGAATTAGTCAAGAAAAAGATCAGAAAAGCTATGGCCGCTATTCAAGAACTACTGGTGATACACTTGTCAATGCTACTCTTCTGGCCTCATTCTTAAAGCTCATATATATCATGAGCTTTCACCCACATATTATGCCTAAGAAAATACATTTTGAAAACTGAATGTATCTTGGTTCTAGAAAAATAGAGAAGTCTGGTGTTTACGTAGGCCTAGAGCAAGACGGAAACTGTACTTCACTTGTTCTTGAGAGGAGTGTTCAGAGATCCCTCTATTTCTTGATATTTAATAAACCTTGATATTTAACAGCATTATTAATTTTGTTTACCCCACGGTACAAATAATAATGGACCTGCAATCATTGGTATATTTCTCAGTAAAAGGAATGTGGATAATGTGAAATATGACGCGGACTTAAGAGATAGCATGTCTAGTTTCGGTAAGTGATGGATGTACCTAATGGACGCAGCCTTGCAACAGTCAGCCGGGAAATGGTACAAATGAAAAATTCACATTATTTGCTATTTATTTTAGTAGACAAAACTTCAGCGCTGTCAAAAATATTGTGAACTGTACAATAAACCCTTAGAAATGTTCTATAAATGAGGGAAATTGGAAAAAAAGAACACCAAATGCATGGGAACCGTGTTCAACATGGCATATCCCAGCATGCCATCTGAGAATCATAATCGACAGCGGTCATTTTCTCATCATATTCTCCTTATTGTGCTTATCTTCAAGGCGGAAACCCACTAACTCACGTGCATAGTTCCTTTGTGCATATTCGCTCCTCACGGGTGTGGCAGAAAATATGTATTATACAAAAAAGTCAAGTAAAAGTAAAGGCAATTTTTTGCATGTTTATTTGTTGTCAGATCTAGTATGTTTCTAATTGTCAATAAGTCTTGTAGACCAAATGTAATCACTGCAGTTAAAATTTTATTGACACAATGGTTATTCGGCCAGTTTGTTAAAATTGTGCGAGGCCCGACCTAAATTCATATATACGGACATGCATAAACAGAAATAAATGCATATCTGTTTATCTATCTGATAGATATACATTTATCTATCTATCAGGTAGACATGCATGTCTTGACTAATAAATATGTATTTCTTTCTGTGTATATACATGTTCGTATAAAATATTGATAGCGTCGGGTTTCACAGTTACAACAAACTGGCCGAAAAGTGGAGATTTTTTTTTTTTTTTTTTTTTTTTTTTTTTTTTTTTTTTGTCATTCGCCTTGCGTTCGGATGTCTTTCAACCTCCACACCCCGACCAAAAGGGTATAGTCACAGCATTTCAAAACCATCCTCAAAGAGGCTTTTGACACTCATTTTCAGCATGATGGTTTTTAAACATCCCTGATAGCCCAAATATAAAATCCCACGCATGGGGGGAGCGGGTAATAATAATGTAACAGATGGATGACCCCGCGGCAGGAAGAGAGGAGGGTCAGGCTGAGGCCACGGCTTGCGAAGTAACTTCCGGTTAAATAACACGTCCTGGGTCATATGTCATTTTGTAACACAAGATGTAGTACTGTCACAGGAGCCTATGTTGATTTCCTTAACTTCATTTCACATATTTGTGCTCGTGTTATTTTTTGTATGTATGTTTACTTTCGAAGGAGTTTTATTGGGCAGGTGTAAATGAAAAGAACAAAAAAGGTTGATCATATTCACAAAGCACCCGTAACTTTTGTGGCGTCATCAAAATAAACAGACGCCATGACACCTCCTCGAGTTGCTACTGAACTATCCTTACCCGACCGTTACCCCGAATGGCTGTCCTTCCTAACCTTGAGCAGGATCTTAACTCACGGTCCGAGACCAATCAGACTACCGGGAATTCGCGGATGATAGACATAAACCAATAACTGTCCCAACGAAATATCAAGAAAATGATTTGTAAAACAAGTAATGGAGGAAAAATTATTAAAATACAACAGGAAACACGTGATCCTTCCCTGTCCGAGCTACTTTGGATCATCAACTACAATAAACATTTGACCATTCTGCAATCCAGTCATGATATCAAGAAAGCTCGTATAGTTCGCATATATTCGGGGTCTGGGGGCATCCTTGAAAAGTCTTAAAATGTCATGATGTTTTGGAAATGTGTGTACATATATATATATATATATATATATATATATATATATATATATATATATATATATATATATATTATGAACAAATATGAAACAAATATCCTCTGAGAAATGAACAAATATGAAACATTCTCAGAGGATAGGGGCTTCATCAAATCGAGTAAATGGGAGATATTTTTAATATCATTTTATTTGTTCAAGAAAAACGGTAATAACTGTAGAAACGGAAGACAACTGCTGTCTCTAATTCCCGAGACAGGTGACGTGTTTATGCAGTTTGATTTCCTCCGCAACACTTCCCATTCCCTCTTAGTGTGATCTATTCGCCCAAACATTTTTCATCAGATGTAGGAGACATGCCTTGCTTGGCCACCGAAGGACCTCCAGGTGGCTTTCGTCATGGAACCACTTCGTCATTGCCCTAGACGTATGTGTAAGGCACGAATGCAGAATACGGTTGCTTCTCGAAAGGGCCAAGACATGGTGCGTACCGATGGGAGAATTTATTTTTAACAATTA